GCTAAGACCATCGGAATGTTCTCTCAAGAGGGTGGAAAAATTTCAACTTACAATTTTAGGATTGAAAAATAAGGTGGTTTTCTTTCTTAATCTAAATTTTGCACCGATCAAGGAGTCTAACCATTTTCACAAGTGTTTATAATGGTCATGGCCAGAAAGGTCCTTCATTCCTCACCTGCAGGATGTTGTCAGGTGATCCCGGTTCTATACCCTAAATATCTTCACTTGTATCCTCATTCTGTGTCTTCACTGTCTCCAACTAGGCACATGCCATTGTCGTTTGTTACTTGGATGCCTGCCCCCATTGCCTAACTGATCTCCCTTTTCCTTGTTTGTTCTCCATTCTGACGACAAATTGACCTAAAATACAACTGTGATCATAATCCTCTGCTGTTTAGAAAGCTTCAATGATTTCCTATTGCTGTCGGAATAAAATTCAAACCTTCAACATGATGTAGGAGATTCTTTACCCTCTAACATCTTGCCCTTCACTTAACCTTATCTGCCTCCACTCTTTTTCTCTTTCCAACTTCTTGATTTTGCTGAACCAATTTTACTTCCCTAAACTCACCCTGCTTTATGACACTTCCATTAACTCCGCTGTGCCTTATGCTTGGAATGACTTTCCTCACTTCTTCATGTACTTCCAGGAAAAATCCAAGTCCCCAAACAGTATGCTTTCTTAGGCAGAAGCAACAAAGAAAAGATAAATCTCCACAGACTTGGGCATCCTGAAAGATCATCTTGTCTTTGTACATGCCTCGTCATCTAACCAGCTACCTCTCATGTGTCTACAACAATGACATAGTAAAAGACATAGTACAACCATAGCCAGATCCAGCTGACAGCCTTCTGAAACTGTCAGAATCTGAGATTCTGAAACTAAAAGTGATAGCATAATGCTCTCCACCAGAACCCAGTGATAATATTTGATTATCTAACCTTCACAGTATTTAATGTACCCTCTGAGAAGCTCATATGAATTGTAAATGAGTTAAAAAATTATACAAAGTTAATATATGTAACAGGTTCTAAGTGAATTAAAATGTTATATAATGCTCAATGTATGTAGTATTGTATTGAACAATAATTAGTACTACATGATTTTTATTTATAGGAAATCATGTTTGCTTGTACTTTTAAGCACAAAGGAAAATAACAATGGTTTTGAAGTATTCATAAACATAAGTCTGCCAAAAACTACACAGGTGTAGCCTTGAATGTAATGATAGAGAAGAGAGGCAGAAAAAATGTATTCTGAGGTATTTATAGTATTCCTGGGTTGCAAGATCACAGGGATTTAATATTTTTTCTTTCATTTAATTTAATTTCCAAGTTTTTTTAGTGCATATTCATTATTTTTAGAATAAAAATAGATCTCAGGAGAAGTTTAAGATGCCAGTTAACGTAATCATGTCCCGCATCTAAGTGCCTGGGTTCAATTCCCAGCTCCAGCAGTGGTGATGGCTCAAGTAATTGGGTTCCTGCCACCCATCCTGAAGACCTGGATTGAATTTCTGGCTCCAGATTCACACAAGGGGTAGAGGTTGGGGTGTTACGGGGATTTGGGATGTGAACCAGCAGATGAGAGTATGTGTTCTCAGTCTTTCCCAATCTCTCAAATTAAAAATTTTTTAAATAAATAAATTGCACCTGCAACTTTCTGCTTTTGAATATTTTATCACTGAGACAGCTGGGATTGTGTGCATGTATGAAGCTACTCTAAAATGTTCATAGATGGGGCTGGCGTTGTGGCGTAGAGGATTAAGCTACCACCTGCAACACCAGCATCTCATATTTGTCTCAGTTGCTCCACTTCCAATACAGCTTCCTGCTAATGTGGCTGGGAAAAGCACCAGAAAATGGTCCAAGTCCTTGAGCCCCTGCTACCCACATGGGAAACTCGGATGAGGTTTCTGGCTTTGGGCTTTGGCCTGGGCCAGTGTTGCCCATTGCAGCCATTTGGGGGAGTGAACCAGTGGGTGGAAGACCTCTCTCTCTCTCTCTCTCTGTAACTCTGACTTTTCAATAAATAAATAAATCTTAACAAAAAGAAAAGGTCATACAGAAATGGAATTAAAAGGTAAGTTTGTTTTGGTGCAATAGATTTCTTGAAATCCATGCATAATTTTTTCATAATTTGCATTTTCCATGATCTTTTTGAAACCTGATCACTCTGTGTGCGTGTATGCACACATGCACTCATGTTAAGTGTGAAGGTATGTGGGAACAGATTTACTCTAGCCCAGTAGACAGGACTTCAAGTGCTGATATGGGTCGGGAGGGCAGGGAAGTCATAGAGGTGGAAGAAGAAAGCAGATGGTGTGTAAAGGGCATGTTCTGCTAAAGGAGTAGCTATTACTCAAGGCCAGCTCACTGCTGTAGCAAGAGAGTACAGTTCAGTGTCAGATATCTAGAAACCAGATATCTAGATTTTAATGTGAAATTTTTCAATGTTGCAAAAAAATTATTAGTTTTTTTTTAAAGATTGATTTATTTATTTGAAAGGCAGAATTGCAGAGAGGCAGAGGCAGAGAGAGAGCGAGAGAGGTCTTCTATCCGTTGGTTCACCCCCAGATGGCTGCAACAGCCAGAGCTGCGCTGCTCTGAAGCCAGGAGCCAGGAGCCTCTCCCAGGTCTCCCATGCGGGTGCAGGGGTCCAAGGACTTGGGCCATTCTCCAATGCTTTCCCAGGCCGTAGCAGAGAGCTGGGTTGGAAGTGGAGCAGCCAGGACTTGAACTGGTGCCCGTACGGGATGCCAGCACTACGGTGGTCGCTTTACTCGCTACACCACAGCACTGACCCCAAATTATTAGTTTTTAAAAATTGTCAACACTGTTTCTGCCAAATCAAAAATGTCTACAGGTCAGATATAGTTTCTGGCCATGAATTTGAACTTCTGCTGGAGCCCTCGGGGAAGGACTTGAGGCCCAGGTGGGTGGTGTAAGCTCTATGAAGACTGGTAAAGGTCTTTGCATTCCTGGGACTGGCACAGAGGCTGACATAGAAAGTCCCATAAAAGTGTTTGGAATGAATAAAATACAGTCCCACAGTGCTGATCTTCCCATCTGGTTTCTTTGACAAGAGGATCTGATGCAAGAAAGGAAATACCAGTCGGTTTAAACCAACTGAGGGAGCACAAAGTTTTCTAAGGGGTGTGAGGGCCTAAAGATGGATCAACTGAACCCAGCCTCAGGACCTTCGATTTCCCTCCTTTGCTTTATTTATTTAGGATTTATTTATTTATTTGGAAAGCAGAGTTACAGAGAGACAGAGGCAGAAAGAGAGAGGTCTTCCATCTAGTGGTTCACTCCTCAAATGGCCACAATGGCCAGAGCTGGGTTGATCCAAAGCCAGGAACCTGGAGCTTCTTCTGGATCTCCCACACAGCTGCAGGGGTCCAAGGACTTGGGCCATATTCTACTGCTTTCCCAGGCCACAGCAGAGAGTTGGATCAGAGGAGAAGCAGACAGAACTAGAATCAGCGCCCATATGGGATGCTGGCACTGCAGGCCGTGACTTTACCTGCTATGCCACAGTGCTGGCCCCCTCCTTTGCTTCAGAACTGATCTGTGGGAGGATGGACGTGAGGATGGGTGCCCTTGTGGTGTCTGCTTTCCTCTTTCTCACCTCCCTGCCACCACCTACATTACACAAGAGGGGCCGCCCTTCCTCTCAGACGCTATAGCAGCACATTGCCTTGGGGTAGAAGAAACTCTGAAGTGTCAAACCATCAAACCAAAAGACAGTTAAAATTACTAGTATGGGGGAGCCGGTGCTGTGGCATAGAGTGTGAGAGAGAGACGGAGTGTGAGAGAGTCAGACAGAGAGAGATCACATATCCTTTGGTTCATTCCCCAAATGCCTGCAATAACTAAGTATATGCCAGGCCCAAATCAGGATCTGGGAACTCAATCCAGGTCTCCCACATGGATAGAGGAACCCAACTATTTGAGCCTTCACCTACTACATCCTAGGGTGTGCCTCAGTAGGAACCTGGAAACAAAAGCCCAGGCATCCAAGTGGCATCTTAACCTCTGAGGCTGAATACCCACCCGTAACCATTTAATTTTAAAGGCTGCTGTTGTCCAGAAATCACATCCTTTGCCACTATTTAAGTTTATGATGAAAATTTTAGATACAAATTTGAAAATGTGTGAGGGATTTAAAGTTTTTCAGATTTCTTTTATTAAAGTCTGAAGACTACTGGGTTCAGATCCTAGAACCAAATATAATCCTATTAACCTTTTTCTGCTGGTGAGATTAGATCCTGTCTTTAGATTGTAATAATCGGCCTTTTCTTTTACTAATTCAGCAGCAAGATCTAAAAATGATCTAAGAAAATCTCAGTAATTAGCTGTTAACTCAATAGTTAAGGAGAAATCTAGAAATATTTAGCTTTAAATAACCTCTAAATGCAGATGATTCAGAAACTTAAAATTCTACCCAGGACAAACTCTAAAGAGTTTGTATTTCCAGCTACACGTGACAAATCCACCTGGGATGTTTCTTAAACAATTTGCTCACATCATGTCCAATATTCTCATTATATATATATTTATATATAATATATTATATATTATATGTATAAATATATATTTATATATATAAATTTATTTACTTATTTGAAAGGCACAGTGACAGAGAGAGGGAGAGACACAGAGAGAATATCTTGCATATGCTGGTTTATACCCTAAATGGCTACAATAGCCAGGGCTGGGCCAAGCTGAAAACAGGATCTAGGAACATCCTCGTCTCCCACGTGGGTGCAGGGGCCCAAGCACTGGGACCATCTTCCACTGGCTTCCCTGGTGCATTAGCCGGGAGTGGATTGGAAGTGGAGTAGTCAGATCTGACTACTCTGATATGGGATGAGGGGATCCCGAGTATTGGTTTAAGCTTCTGTGCTGGCTCCTGCTATTCTGATTCAAATACTATGATTCCCTTCCCCAGTCCCCAGACTGATTTCCCTTCAGTAAATACTTACCCTGTCCCTTAGTGTTTTAGGCACCCATGGCTCCTGCTGCCACTGTTGTAGCTGCTACCACCGCTGCTGCTGGGTTGCTTAGGAGTGGAAACATGAGACAAGGTCACCAAGAAACAGGAAAAGAGAAACAGGTGATTTCTCCATTTTCTCTGAGCATTGGGGATTCTCTTTCTTGCTCTTTGGGCCAGAACCATAAGGCTTCATCTGGAGCTTTCTTTATCCCTATGGGGTTCCTGCCTCAGGCTTCCGGCTTCCTTGAATCCAGACATGCTGGAGGGCAAACAAAATGGGGAACTCTCTGCGATTTCACACTGATTCCAATGATCTTCTGTCCCCATCTGCTTGCCACCATCTTGGCTTCCTGCCACTCACAGTTGCTGCACGCATTCTGTCCATCTTCTACCTGCACTCAGTGGGAAACACAGGCTGGGCTTTACTTACCCTGAGCTGCATTCTGTGTTTTAACTTATGATATGATAAGCATCTTCCATTTTTGTTAAATACTTAATGTGTACATACCTTTCTCTTTATAGCACTTTAGCCATTTTCCAGTGTTGAGTAGTGAGGAGTAGGGACATCTTGGTGAGCCACAGATCTAAAATGCTTTTCTATTCTGCAAAAGTGGAACTGTACCCATTGAACAACAACCTAACAACCTAACAACTTCCCTTTGTGCTCTGCCTCCAAGCCCCAGGCAACCACACATACCACACTCTAGACTGGACATTTAGGTTTTTTCCAGATTTCCCCCTGTTGTAAATTGTGATGAATATATGGTTAGGAGAATTTAGAAAAATCTCTCTTGTTGTTGAGCCTAGGCCTTTCAGAAAATTTCTGCTCTAATGAGACTTTTTTTTTTTTAATTTGAGAGGCAGAAAGATAGATAAAGAGTTCTCATCTGCTGATTCCCTCCCCAGATATCTGCAACAGCTGAGACTGGCCAGATGGAAACAGGGGGCCAGGAACACATTCTGGGTCTTCCATGTGAGTGACAGGATCCCACTTACTTGAGCCATCACTACTGTCTCCCAGGATGTACATTAGCAGAAAGCTGGAGTCAGGAGCAGAGGTGGGTATTGAACCTTGGCACTCCCATGGGGGATGCAGTGTCTTAACTGGCATCTTAAACACTAGGCCAAGCACCCACTCTTCTTTCTGTCTTTTGCCGTCTACTCTCTCTTAATTTGGCTGGAACTAATAGGTTTCAAACTGTAAACAAGATTAAGCACCTCTGTTGTAGTACAATAGTTTGAATTTAGGGCAAGTGTTGTATTTTACCTGTTTGACCATGACTGGTTTGTAATAATGTAAATTTTTGTTGGTTTGTTTGAAAGAGATGGAGAGAGATGGAGAGAGAGAGAGAGAATTCCCATTCACTGATTCATTCCCTTACAATGACTGATCCAGGCCAGAACCAAGAGCCAGGAACTCAAGTTGGGTCTCCCATGTGGGTGGCAGGGATCCAACCACTTGCACTGTCACCAGTGCCTCCCAGGTTGTACATTAACAGGAAGCTGGACTTGCAAGTGGAGCAAAGACTTGTACCCAGGCACTCTGCATGGGATGCAGGCATCCCAAACCAGCATCTTAGTCACTGTGCCTTACACCTGCCCCAGCAATCTGATTTGAGGGTACATGCCTGGCCATTGTTGATGACACCTGTGACTCTATCTGGATACAGTCATAAATGTCAGAGCCCTCTCTCTGTCTCTCCAGTATAGCCTGTGTTCTACCTGCTGTAACACAGTAGGCGTCTTCCCTGTGGGTGTATGGCAGAGCCTGGGATCTGGAGAGGCCCGTAGGCATCCAGACGCTTCCAATTCCCTCTCCCATCAGTATGTACTCCGAGTCTTCCCCAGAGTGGTGAGAATTAGAGCCCTTACTCTGTCCCGGGACAGGGACCCTTATCTTTGAGCCCACTGAGTCTGCAGAGGGCAGGAGATGGCACATAGCTTTCATTTTGTTCTGTCTTATGTCATTGAGCCTGCATTCTCCGGGTAAGGGGCTTACTTGATTAGAGGAAAAGGAACCAGATTTTAGTTCCAACTTGTGTAAAAGGAAATGATTTTGATTTTCTTCTGTCAAGATTAATCTCTCTTTAGGGTTAGATTTCTCTCCAAAAAGATGGTACTAATTTGCCTTTCCACTAAAAATATATGAAAGTTCCTGTCTCACCACACCCATACCAATCATTCTCATTTTTAATATTCATGACTGTGACAGATAAAAGATGGTGATTTCATGTTTAAAATGTGTGCTTCTTTGATTGCTGGTAAAGCGGAATATTTTTCTGTGTTTCCTGCCACACTATCAAATTTCCTTCTTTGTGAATGGTTATTTCTTGCCCGTCTATTTCTCCCACGTCCGTATCATTTGGAAAAAATCAGTTGGGGAAACATATCGAAGCAAAACTCTTTTCTAGTCCAGAAATCATTTCATTGTGCTGTTTACTCCAGGTATACCTAGGAGGATGGTGGCAAAGGTCACATTAACAATAGCAATCTACAAAGAGTCTAAAGCATAAATTAAGATGGTGATCTAAGTGTTCTTCCAATTTTTGGGATCAAACTAGCTCCATGCTCTTCTTACTACCTGCCTGCCCTCTGATGGAGGTGCTGAAGAGCATCCCTGGAGGTCAAGTGAGCTGTAAGGGGGATAGTGAAGAACTCAAAGGGAAGCCTAAATGGCAAAGCACCCCTGAGTAATTAAAAAGCCATGGTGTGGGGTGGGTGTTCAGCCTCGTGGTGAAGATGAGACTGAAGACACCTGTGTCTCATATCAAAGTGCCTGAGTTTGATTCTGGTTCCTGATTCCAACTTCCTGTGAATGTACCAGGAGACAGCAGGTGATGGCCCAAGTGATTGGGTTGCTGCCACCCACATGGGAGACCTGCGTTGAGTTCCTGGCTCCTGCCTCCAATCTGGCCCAGCGCAGGCTTTTGTAGGCATTTGAAGCATGAACCAGTTCATGAGAGTCTCTTTCTCTCTCTCTTGCTATTTCTGTATGTCTATCTCTTTCTCTCCCCACCACCCCTCTCAAATAAAGAAAAAACCCAAGCAATTAAAAATCACTGTTTGGGGGCCAGCACTGTGCGCAGCGGGTTAACGCCCTGGCCTGAAGCTCTGGCATCCCATATGGGCGCCGGTTCTAGTCCCGGCTGCTCCTCTTCCGATCCAGCTCTCTGTTATGGCCTGGGAAAGCAGTAGAAGATGGCCCAAGTCCTTGGGCTCCTACACCCACATGGGAGACCCAGAGGAAGCTCCTGGCTCCTGGCTTCGGGTCAGCGCAGCTCCGGCCGTTGCGGCCATCTGGGGAGTGAACCAGCGGTGGAAGACCTCTCTCTCTGTCACTACCCCTCTCTGTAACTCTGTCTTTCGAATAAATAAAATATTTTTTTTTAAAAAAATAGCTGTTTGACTTAGAACAACTGCTGTCCTTGATTTTTCCAATGTTGAATGGAAATACTATTGTATTTTCCATAAAAATGTCATTCCCAAACAGGTACCTTTCCATAGAAACTATTCCTCATGTTTGGCCTTGATACTTTGGATAATTCTCATACAGGAAAACCATTTTTTCTTCAATTCTGAATCTGGGAAAGAATCCAAGGAAGTGAACATTCTGTGTCAGCTCTGGCACTTGCTAGTTATAGTTAGTTGGACGCCCTTGGGTAATCTTTTAACCTCCCTAAGTCTGGGTTTCTTCATCCGTAACCCAGGAATAATGATATTGGTGCATCTATTGTGAGCTTCAAATGAGCTGATGGCAGTAAAAGTGCTTCGTAAACAATAAAGCACTCCACAGATCTGGGGTAATATTAATACAGTGTTGACAACTCTTCTTGAATCAATGTTTAATTTGACTTAGTTGTCTATGTGTTTTAAAATAAGAGATAGTCAGCTTATCCTCTTAATCTTTAGCAAATAAATGGAGCTTTGGTCTCAGATCCACAGAAAAAGCAAAGTATATGTCCTGATGTGACCCAGGTCTCTGTGTGTACTCTCTAGATCTCACTTTCATTTTTGTCTTAATTATAGCATTGAAAGAGTGGAAGGCTTAAAATTACAACATTCAGAACTAGTCATTATTTGGTGACTACATTTCAAAAATATTGCTCATGTCTTTAAAATAAATTATGAGTGTTCTTTTATTGTTACCTTGGCCTAAATAGAAATTTATTGACGTGGTGATGATAACAGCTTTTTTAGTTTTTAAACACATTTCCTTGGCTCTGTAATAATCTAGAACATTTAAAGTATTTAAGCATATTAAATGTTAAATGGCTTATAGCTTCTTTTCTATGTGGCTGCAGATAAATGTGAAAATATATAGAATTGTATGACTAAAAGTGTTAAAAGTTCTACACTTCTTTCTTTCTTTCTTTCTTTCTTTCTTTCTTTCTTTAACTTTTATTTAATGAATATAAATTTCCAAAGTACGGCTTATGGATTACAATGGCTTCCCCCCCATAACGTCCCTCCCACCCGCAACCCTCCCCTTTCCCATTCCCTCTCCCCTTCCATTCACATCATGATTCATTTTCGATTCTCTTTATATACAGAAGATCAGTTTAGCATACATTAAGTAAAGATTTCAACAGTTTGCTCCCACACAGAAACACAAAGTGAAAAATACTGTTTGAGTACTAGTTATAGCATTAAATCTCAATGTACAGCACACTAAGGACAAAGATCCTACATGAGGAGTAAGTGCACAGTGACTCCTGTTGTTGACTTAACAAATTGACACTCTTGTTTATGGCATCAGTAATCACCCTAGGCTCTTGTCATGAGTTGCCAAGGCTATGGAAGCCCTTTGAGTTCACCGACTCTGATCATATTTAGACAAGGCCATGGTCAAAATGGAAGTTCTCTCCTCCCTTCAGAGAAAGGTACCTCCTTCTTTGATGACCCATTCTTTCCACTGGGATCTCACTCGCGCAGATCTTTCATTTAGGTTTTTTTTTTTTTTTCCCCAGAGTGTCTTGGCTTTCCATGCCTGAAATACTCTCATGGGCTTTTCAGCCAGATCTGAATGCCTTAAGGGCTGATTCTGAGGCCAGAGTGCTGTTTAGGACATCTGCCATTCTATGGGTCTGCTGTGTATCTCACTTCCCATGCTGGATCGTTCTCTCCCTTTTTTATTCTATCAGCTAGTATTTGCAGACACTATTCTTGTTTATGTGATCCCTTTGGTTCTTAGTCCTATCATTATGATCAATTGTGAACAGAAATTGATCACTGGGACTAGTGAGATGGCATTGGTACATGCCACCTTGATGGGATTGAATTGGAATCCCCTGGTATGTTTCTAACTCTACCGTTTGAGGCAAGTCAGCTTGAGCATGTCCCGAATTGCACATCTCTTCCCTCTCTTATTCCCACTCTTATATTTAGCAGCGATCACTTTTCAGTTAAGTTTCAGCACTTAAGAATAATTGTGTATTGATTACAGTATTCAACCAAAAGTATTAAGTAGAACAAACAAAAAAATACTAAGAGGGATAACATATTAAGTTGCTCATCAACAGTCAGGGTGAGGGCTGATCAAGTCACCATTTCTCCTAGTGTTCATTTCACTTTAACAGGTTTCCTTTTTGGTGCTCAGTTAGTTGTCACTTATCAGGGAGAACAAGTGGTATTTGTCCCTTTGGGATTGGCTTATTTCACTCAGCATAATGTTTTCCAAATTCCTAACAGGGATCACTTTTCAGTTAAAATTTAAACACCTAACTACACTTTTTTCTTTAACACATACACAACCTCCCCTTTTTCTCTTCTATTTTTGTATGCTATACTAGAAGAGAAACCAAAATAGTAGCTATCTGAAAAGAGATAAAACTGTCAAAGATACCTGGTCCAAATGACCAGTATTCTGGTGTGGCTTTTTACAATAGTCACTCCTCTTTAATTTTCTTCAGTCTGCTTTAAAAAATAGCAGCCAGAATGTTAAAGTCCACAAAAGGCAATGTTACTTTAGTTTTCTTTCTTTTTTTTTTTTTTAGAATTACATTAACAAATTTATTTATAGAGGCTGCCACTGTGGCACTGTGGGTTAAGCCACTGCCTGTGACGTTGGCATCCCTTGAGTGTCAGTTTGAGTCCCAGCTGTTCCACTTCTGATCCAGCTCTCTGCTGATGTGCCTGGGGAAGTGGTGGAAGATGGACCAAATGCTTGGGCCCCTGCACCCCTGTGGGAGACCCGGATGGAGTTCCAGGCTCTTGATTTCAGCCTTTCCCAGTCCTGTTTGTTGCAGCCATTTGGAGAGTGAACAAATGGATAGAAGAGTCTTTCTCTCTCCCTTTCCCTGTCCCTCTCCCTCCCCATCTCCTTCTCCCTCTTGACATTTCTTATTGGCCCTTGTTCTACATTTTCCAGGCTGGGCTATCTTTCAAATTCTCAAACCTGATTTATCTAAAACCAAATTTATCTTCTTTTGAAATTGTCTCCCATTCCAACAATCCATTTCTGTTAATGATTTTGCCTACTTTCAGGTTTGGAAATGTCTCCAAGGCTTGTGATCTTTCATGAGTTTCTTCACATTGTCGAGCCTCATTGCTTAAACTTCTAGAATATGTCATGATTCAACTCCTTCTTTGCTTCTGGTAGATTTGGGATGGGATCTGAAATTCTGCATTTCTCAGAAGCTTCTGAGTTGACCCCATATTGCAAAAATCTTGAGTAGCAAAGACCTGCTGTATGCTATGATGGCCACCTGAACCCAGTCTTCCACATCCTAGTTCATGGTTATAGCTAAAGCTTAATTCTTTATTTTAAATATTTACTTATTTATTTACTTGAAAGTCAGAGTTACACTGAAAGAGAAGGAGAGGCAGAGAGAGAGAGAGGTCCTCCATCCACTGGTCCACTCCCTAGTTGGCTGCAATGGCTGGAGCTGTGCTGATCCAAAGCCAGGAGCCAAGGTCTTCCTCCAGGTCTCCCATGCAGGTGCAGGCAATAGCCTGCCTCCCAGGCAATAGCAGAGAACTTGGTTGGAAGAGGAGCAGCTGGGACTCAAACCGGTGCCATTATGGGATGCTGGCACTACAGGCAGTGGCCTTACCTGCTTCGCCACAGCACCAGCCCCTCAATTCTCTTTCAAAAAGGAAGGTCTGGGGGCTGGCACTGTGGTGCAGCAGGTTAAAGACCTAGCCTGAAGCACTGGAATCCCATATGGGTGCCAGTTCTAGTCCTAGTTGCTCCTCTTCCCATCCAACTCTCTGCTACGGCCTGGGAAAGCAGTGGAAGATGGCTCAAGTCCTTGGGCCCCTGCACCTGCGTGGGAGAACCAGAAGAAGCCTCTGGCTCCTGGCTTCGGATCAGTGCAGTTCCAGCCATTGCAGCCATCTGAGGAGTGAACCAGCAGATAGAAGACCTTGCTCTCTGTCTCTACCTCTCTCCGTAACTCTGTTTTTCAAATAAATAAAATAAATCTTTGAAAAAAAAAAAAAACCAAAAAACAAAAAGGAAGGTCTGATACTCCTCTGGTTTCCTTCAAAAGGAAAATCTTCTCTTTTTTTTTCTCAAAAGATTTGTTTATTTATTTGAAAGGAAGAGTGACGGAGAGAGATGGAGAGACAGGGGTGGGGTGGGGAGAGAGATCTGTCATCTGTTGGTTCACTCCCCAGTTGGCTGCAAGAGCTGTGGCTGTGCCTGGCTGAAGCAGGGAGCCTGGGACTCCATCCAGGTCTCTCGTGTGTGGCAGGGATTTGAGTTTTTGGGCCATCATCTGCTGCTTCCCAGGTACATTACCAGGGGGCTGGATTGGAAGCGGAATAGCTGGGACTCAAATTGGCACTCTGATATGGGATGCAGGCATCCCAAGTAGTGATGTAACTCATTGTGCCACAAGGGCTGCCCCAAGAAAAGTTGTTTTTTCCCTATGTCACAGAAGATTTGGAAAGTTACAGAGATGAAAAATACAAATTGGCCATAATGGTCAATTCAGAACTGATTGCTAACACTTTGCTGTATAGCCTTTCAGTCTTTTCTTTGCATGTAAATATATATTCAGGTTATATCTTGATTTTTTAAGCCATAAAGGGATCATTTATATATTTTTATTATTGTCACCAGTGTGGCAATAATAATTTGCTCCCTAAATTTGCAAGTTCCCCTGTCTTTTCCTCTTCCTTGTCTGTATGATAAAAATACCAAAACTTCTTTTCTGGGCCTCCCCGACATCTGAGCACTGGGGGACCTGGTGCAGCTGAGCAGATGCATCCTCCCTAGTCTTTGATTCAGGAGCTGGTGACTCAGAGCAGCGGGGATGACGCAGACGGCACTCCGGCCAGGGCACAGTCGCAATGGCAGCTGCATCCGGTTTCCAGGAGCAACAGAAGCAGCTGTTCTGTGGCAGTGTGTGGTGTCCAGCACCCCAGGACTTGTCACTGCAAGGTCAGTGCTCTGCAGCTGGTGTGGTGACTTCCTGG